GAGAGAGAGAGAGAGAGAGAGAGAGAGAGAGAGAGAGAGAGAGAGAGAGAGAGAGACAAAAAAGGATCCCCTTTATGTCAATTTGAGGGCCCCTGCAGGTACCACGAATGGCTCCTACAACGCATGGGGAGCTATTGAGGGCCGCTGCTTCACTGAGAAGGATGGCTCGTCATGCACGAACGACATGGGGCCAGACCATCAATATATGCTGTGGATTCGAGTTTAGGGCTGTAGCTCGGCAGTTATGGGTCACCAGTTCAGCTAGACCCTGTTCGTGTCTCCACGTGATTCTCAGGGCCTCCCTCCACCACTCACCAAATGTATATAATATTAGTAGAATGAATCTTCTGGTGAAAATGGAACCGTACACCGCCGTATGCTATGTCTTTTGTGCATTTGGTGAGTAGTGGAGCAGGCCCCACTGGACGTATTCGTAAGAAAACAAAAACAAGAAAACGAGAGAGCCACGGGCGTCTTCATCCTAACCCATAACTGCCGACATGCAGACCTGAACGCCAATCTTCAGCATATATTGGTGGTCGGCTGGCCATAGAAAACGTAACTTGTGATCTCTGCGAAGATTTGCGGCGCAGGTCGTTATCAGGCGACTGCCCCTTTTTGCGAACTTACCCCACCACTGTGTGGCATTTGCAGAAGGGAGCAGGAAGAACATCTTTCATACCCCGCCTAAAAAAAAGATGGAATGAGCCCTAATTTTTAAGTATTTTATGCTTCGCCATTCTGAAACTTTTGGGGGAAGGGCCTGCGGAAATCAAAATTTGGCAGCCCTTACCCAAAAGAAAATTTCGAGCTTGGGGCGCGGCCGGTTTCTGAGCTCGTGCAGTGAGTTTAACATTTTTGCCGAGTTGGGGGCCCTAAGAAATTATAAAACACCGACTCTCTTTTTTTTTTTTTTGTGGACCTAATTTTTCCAGTGCGCTGCGGTTCGGTGCGCTGTGCGGTGCGCAATTCGTGAGCAAATCCGCGCACCGAGGTGCGCCGCAACTCTGAAAAAGACTCTATTTTTCCTTTTTTTTTGGGGGGAACGGTCGGGCAAGTGGTCCCAGGCTACTCTGGTAGCCTTAGTTATCTGTATGCAATGACTTGCTGATTTCCACTGCCGAGATTGACTGCGAGGCTGTACACTAACCGGTAGGGTTAGATTCGTAATTTTGTTTGGCTGAGGGCTAACCGAGAGACCTGTCTGTAAGGAAATTCGTGAGGGACATATCGGCAAATCTGGGAAAATATAGGCCCAGTACTAACCCGAATTCCTACAGCTACCCTAACTGCCCATAGCAGGCCCGGGCTACCCCGAGGACAGACAGGCCCTAAGCGGCCTATACTGCTAGACGGTCCTATAGCCTATAGCCGGGTCCGGTAGAGGCCGAGAGGCCGAAACAGCAACGGTACCGGTCGGTCAGTCAGTCCGGTCTAGGTCTAGGTAGTCTATAGATAGGTTAGGCCCATCGGTTCAGGACTTTTGGGCAGTTCATTTCTCGCGAAGCAGCGTTGGAGAAGCCAAGCAAGTTGGTGGCGGTATCTGTCTACAGGCGGCATCCTGAGACYSGCCGTTGACAGCAGCCATAGCCGGCCCAGCCTGAGTCTGCCATAGCTGGGGCATCCTCAGCGCATCTACCCCTGGGGGTATCTGCGTATGGCCGGGCTAGATCGAGGCTCTACAGKGTGTGTTCGTGGGTGGTGGCAGCCATAGCTGCCTGCTCCTTCGTCAGAGTTGTCCATCGGCACTGAAGACTTCATCGCAGGACATGTTCTTCATCAGGGTGGTTGGCGCTGGCCTCTGGGAGGCTGTTCTGATGTGGCGCTACTAACTGGGTGTACGATAGAGAGTGGGGTGTGAGTTCTGAGAGTGGCGAGATACTGGAACAAACTCTGTTACGATAATTGTTTGAGTGGTTCATCATCAGTGTGATTTCCAATTGTGATCTTCGCAGGTTCTTTCTTGTGATTGGTTGTTGGGAGTTGTGTCAGAGAGTGAGAAACACTGTGTGTTCTCTCCCCATCTGTGCATGATTGTCTTCCGCTGCTTATTTTCACCTGTGTGCAGTTTGGACTCTGTCTCCTCTCTCCCCTTCTCTTATGCATGTATGGGCATGTGTGAGATTGTCTGTGTGTGAGTGGCGATAAAATTCGTCAGACAACCAAGTTCATAACATGTACATAGTGCATCGTAGCAGAATACCACTGGTATGCCACTAAACCAACTTTGGCACACCCCCACCTGAAAAATCGGATTGCGACCAACTTGGCACAGTCCCACCTTAAAAATCTGGTACCTGCTTTGAGCTCCACATCATCCCTGTGGCAGTCGACCAAGACATTCCAACACTTGAAAGGCCATTCACTCCACTCTGATGTATGAACTACTACAAAATTACAAACTGATGAACTAAGTACAAGAGCTATTTACAAACTCGTACAAAGCACGAAGGCAATTCCATTCACGTACAAAACAAAGTTGTTTTTTTTACGCTGGAAGAATGTACAAACTGGGTGCATGCTGCTCATAACTGGCAGGTAAATGAGGTGCAGCAGCAGTGCATCCAGGCACCCTGTGACAGAGCGTCAAGATGCCTCCCCAAATTCCCAAATTCCAAATGCATAATAATTATTTCCGGACGCTGAGCCCGGTTCCCAGCAGGTGCAAAAAAAAAGAAAGCACACAAATCTACTGAGTGGCATGGCCGATAGGAACGCGGAGGGGGGTGATGGGATAGGAGGGGGAGGGTGCACAGGGAGAGAGAAGAAGCAACAAGAGTGAGGCACAATGAGTCCATGCACCCACTGGCACTCAGTCAACTGGAAGCGGTGTCCAAGAGCTGCTTGATAGCGTGATCAGATGCCAGGTGCCAGTCCCGGTACCCTGGAACGGTGAGAGATGGACACACATGGTAGAGGCTGCCAGACGGACCAGCTGGCAGAGTGAAAGAGACGAGAGGAGAGGAGAGGAGAGGAGAAGAGAGGAGAGGAGTGGCATGCAGGAGGGAGAGAGGACTTGGAGGGGAGGAGGGCAAGACGGTACGAGGGAGAGGGAGAGAGTGCACGAGAGAGAGAGAGAGAGAGAGAGAGAGAGAGAGAGAGAGAGAGAGAGAGAGAGAGAGAGAGAGAGAGAGAGAGAGAGAGAGAGAGAGAG